GCCAAATTTCGAAGGGTCCAAAAAAAAAAAAAGGGATGGCAGTGGGGGCACATTCAGCTTGCAGGCTCCGTGTTGCCCATCTCTGACTGCGCGAGAGGCTCGACTCCTTCACGGCTCTCAAAGAGCCAAGGCCAGCTCCAGGAATTTTTCTCAGCCCTTGGGCTGGACTCCATGTATCAGTTCACGGCACGGGGAGTCCAGCCGATCGGGGGAAGACTTGAGTTCTGCAGGTGGAACTGCTCTGGATTCTAGCACATGTATTTATGTAATTAATTTAAAATATTTCTCTCCCACCTTTCTCCCCGAAGGACCAAGGTGGCATACTAAATAAAAACATGGACTGGGGTGCAAAATCTTATTAGTGAGCAGCTAAGATTAAGAGGTTCATATGTAGGGGATGAAACTGCTGGCAGACCACCCTATTTCTTCCTTATCATCACCATATATGTGGCATGAATTTCTAATCTAGGGCATAGTTTACATTGCCACCCATACTAGGCTAGAGAGGTCACACTTGTTCCCCTTTTAGATGGTCTAGCCAAGACAGTCAAACATTCATCTGGGCTGTGTAAAGTAGCCTAGGAAGAGGCTGTTGGCTCCATGTTTTCCCCTCTTCGTGCTGGCCTTCTTCCTAGACGCCTTGCACAATGTTGGTGTTCTCCACTTACCTCCTCCTCCTCCTCCTCCTCTGCCTCTTGCTTCACCTCAAGCCATGAGTAAAGAAAAAGGCAGCTGGCGTTTGGGTGTCATATTCAACAACTTGCATACCTTTCCTCTGAATCTCTCTTCCTGGACTCTTCTGCATCCCCTGGCAGCTCCTGCTTATGTAAAGCAACATGAGCTTGCTGACAAAAGAAGAGCAGCAGGACTGGAAAACATCTTACCAAGCGTTTCAGGGACAGCTGTTATTGGCTGCAAGAGTGGCCCCATATGAGGCATTTTGCAGCCCAGGGCTGAGCAGAAACGGCACTTGCCCATCCTCCCAAGGCAAGGTGTAGAGTGCTTAAAGCTAACAGGTTATATTGGACCACGATTTCCTTTCCCCTTTGCTGGGTAGTAAAAATATAACAACAACAACAACAAAAGTAACACATTACATAGAGCATTACATGGAGCAGAATGACATAAAGCCATGACGTGTCAGTAGAACAGTGCAAACGTCATCCCCTGAGGCACAGCTCCATGAGGCCATCTTGCGATTCCCACACTGAAAGGTTCTTGTCTTGCTGTTTCAAGAGGCCATTGCTAATGACTCTTTAAAAGCCATCCAGGTGTCACAAAACGCTAACCTGTGTTTTCACAAAACAACCTCCTTTGCTGTGTGTCCTTCTTGCTCTCTCTATTCTGTGGTTCTTGTTCCTTAGTCTCAGTTCTTTCTCGGTGTCACTGAATCCGCCCTTTCCCCTTCTCAGTTCTTTCTAGCATTCCTGAATTGCACAGTTTCGTCTGCTTGATACCATTTGAACTCTTGTGTCTCCGTCTTATGGGATTCTGGGATCTGTGGTTTGGTGAGGTGCTTAGAATTCTTTGCTAGAGAGCAGGAAGACCCTTTCCCAGACTACACCGGAGCTCTCAAGCAGAGTTGCAAGGACCTCAGCAAAATACAAATCTCGGGACAGCGCAGAATGAAACCGTGGCAGTTGAACTAGTAGCTGATTGATACAACTGCGTAGTAAATACAGTATAAATACACTCTTGGTTCCACCTGTTCTGATATGGACAGCCAGCATATAGGTCAGCAACAATATATTTCTTAATGACAGAACCAAACCATGTGTTGCTCGGTGCCCTTCCTCACCTTTCTGTATCATCCTCAGAGAGGGAAGATAATCTGTCACAGCCAGAGGAAGTTGACAGACAAGGAGCTCAACTCAATGGCGCACCTGACGGCACCCTTTCAACACTTCAGAAAGAAGGGCAGTCCTGCTGGTCAGGTATCAGCTGTCTGAAACGAGCCTGGCAAATGTGAAGGCCATTTTCCTGAGAGAACCTCAGAAGTGCCAACAATGGCAGTGTCTCAAGGCTCCTTGGCAAGGAATTGGAAACAGCTGGATGCCTGGGAAAGACGGAGTGCTACCAATCCTGCTCACTCAGTCAGCGGTGTGTTGGAAGACAACTACTGTACTGCAGTTAATAGCCACCAGTTCTGCCTGCAGAGACTCCTCAAAACTTCATATGACCTGGACTGACTCCGTGTTAATAAGGTGAATGGTTCATTGGAGTGAGCGTTCCACTTGACCTACAAGCTTTGAAGGACAATCTCGTACTTAGAAACAAACTGGCATTGACGAAGCAGTCCTAGCACTGGTTCAACCCTTACTTAGAAAGGTTCCTGGTACTCTTCGCTCACCTGCCACATAGCCCTTGCTTTGACTTGTCCTTAACTGAAAAGGAGAAAGAACCTCAAAGGGTGTCCCATTTCACAAAAGGTGTTGTTATATGCGGATCACCATATAAACCTGATCTCAGGAGACATCCTTTTGAAGTGAGCTTAGAACAAGATTCTCCAAGAGTGTAGGACATACCTGGCTCTTTCTCATTTCAAACTCTGTTTCGTAACCCGCTATTTATTCTGTACATCATCCTATCATGTTGGCATAGTAACTGCCTAAAATTGTAACGGGCTCAGCTTTTATTGCAGTTTAATAATAATAAAAATAAAACACGTTTGCAGTATGCCACAGTGCTCTGAGTATGGAAGCTAAAAATATGTCTGTTCTTAGAGCATAAACAACCATGCCATACTTACAAAGTGGGAAAGACAGCGGGGGAAAAAGTTGGGATCTGTTTCCAAACCAGAATGGAAGTTTGCCTGTGATTTAACAGTATCAAGTAATCTCCTGTATTTTCTCTTTAATATAATTGTTTCTGAACTGTTCCATGCAAATTTATCTGATCACATTTTTATTCCGCCTTTCCTCCAAGCCACTTGGGATGACGTACAGGACTCTCCCCATTCCTCCATTTTATCTCCCAGTCATTCTATGGAGGGCATGACTGGGTCAAAGTCACTCAGCAAGCTTCAGGGAAGAGAGAATATTTGAACTTGGGTGTCTAGGGCTGTGATCTAAATCACTGGTTCTCATGCAACTAAAGGATCAGGAAAATCTATTTCCTGGTAGGGTTCTCTTAAATTCTCCAGGGTCAGAAGGGGCTAGTTCATCATATCTCATTCCTTTGCTTTCTGCATGGAAATTTCCTCTTTGCACTTCTCTCAACATCTGATTGGATGATGACATCCATGGGAAGGGACTCCTCGGGACACTTCAGAGGGAGAGAGGGGTAGCATGGATTCCTAGTGTGTTCTTGAATCAGAGCAGCCCCGGGGGGAGGGGGCTCCTCCAGATGCTTTGCCTTTCCATGGCCTAAAGGATGGAGCAACTGCTTTCTTATCTATAACCATTCAAACAAATGCATATGTCTTGCAAAGATTTCTCCAGGCTGCAACCTTCTTAACAGCACATGGCACTAGTTCTTCCTTGCTGGATCTTCATAACCATTGAGTTGACTCTTCCAATATTCTATTCATCATTTGGAAGGATGAATGACTGTTCCCACCAAATGATCATTGGTCAGCTCTACCTTTTTCAAAAAGAGTGACTCAAATTGGCTGTGTGCTTCCATGAGATTAAGTTCCAACTCTTGTTCCTATGTAAGATTTAAGACCAGACTACATGTTACAGATAGACTATAAACAGAACTTGGAAATCTGTTCCTATTCTGGTTGCTTTATTCGGGCAGAACTTTCTGATTGAGCAGTCATACCTGCAGATGAAGTCTGTGCTTACCTTGTGGCATAAAGCAAGTTCGTTTGCAAGTTTGGGGAGCTACACGATGTTCCTGTGATGAGAAATTCCCAGCATTTAAGGAATGTTCTGTTTCTAATTCTGAGTTGGATAGCCAATGGGGTGTAATGGATAGACTGACGGACAGGAACTCGGGAGATCTGGGTTCAAACTTTTGCTCAGCCATACAATCTCACTGGGGTGGGTAGGTGGCACTCTTCTTAAATATCTTGCATACCTTAAAAATCTTATGAGGGTTGCTGTAAGTCAAATGAGACTCAATGAGCAGTCTGCAGAGCATAGTTAAGCCTTCACTAACCTTAAACAAGTCACAATTCTTGGTCCCTGTTCTAAAATCCTCTTCTGATCTTCTTGAATGCAGGGGATCCCTTGTGTAATACATCTGTGACCGAATCTCAAGCATTCCTGGGTAACCTATTATCTTCTCTCAGTCTTTTATACCTCTCGGTTCTTGGAGTTTACAACCTGTAGTCAGACCAGAGGAATCCACACTAAATGTAACGGGGCTTTCTTCTCAGTCGTGATAGAGGATTGCCTTGTAAATGAGAAAGTTGAGAACCTTTGAGCTATTACAGCCACACTGAGGAGTAAGCTCACAGAAAATCGTAGTTTTATGCTTTTTTTTTTTGTTTCTCCTGTTTGAGAGTAATTCGTTTGCCTCACATATCCCATTTTACTCCTACAATTTATGCCTCTTGACATTTATGTTGCTTTTCTAACCTCTCGTTTAATATATTATTTATTATCACATGTTCTTAACCTCCGTAAACCGCCTAGAATAGTGCATGGCACTGAGGGGGCAATAAATAAATAAATACATCTATCTAGCCCCAAAAATGTTATATTTAAAACAGGGAGGGCCACTTTTGACCTTTGGCATGTTGCTGGCCTGCAGTTTTCATGATCACTCACCATGGGATCTGCTGACTAGGGCTGATGGTTGTTGGAGTCCAATATTTGGAGGGTCACTGGTTGCCCATCCCTGGTTGAGATGGGTTCTCTTGTCACTCCTCAAAACAAGGACATCAAGTATGTTATACATCACCCATGACTCCTTGTCCACAGTAGAAGGAATCCTTCAAGCAATTGTGTGTTTTTTTTAAAGCAGTATGAATGCCTGTCCTTCTTATTCTTGCTTAAGTTGGCCTATTCTGATCCAACTAAATAAAGAAAATATTTGTTCTGCAAGGTCTTCTGGAACAAAGAGCATTATCTTGTAAATCAAGACTGATCTGAAATACTACTCCAACCACCACCCTCTTCGTCGCCATACTTGGTCACAATGGTGGGCTTGTCTGAAACTGGAGGTGAGTGTTTGTGTATGTTCCATCACACCCTTTGCAGAAAGTTTCAGGCACAGACCAAGTCTCGCTATCTATTCCTTGTTTGTGCAGAATAGCATGAGCTTTCCCCACAGGGAACACATTCTTTTTTCAAGAGCTCAGGAGTGGATTGTTGTTACAACTGGAGATTCCACCACTCCTTTTCTACAGGCTGATTTTGATGTCTAAGTTCCTCCCACATAAAGTGCTTTCACTGATGCAACCAAGGGCTGAGAAACTTAGCTTGGAGCTAGTCTCTGGATGAACCTGATTAATTAGGCAAGAATATTGAAGGTGCCTTTGAAACTTGTATTCCTGGTTTCTGGGGATGTCATAAACCATGCCTTCAGTAGGACATGGCTGATAATGACATCCTTTTTTCATAGGTGTGGCCTCTTTCCATGTGAGTGATCAGTCCTCCTCCCTATTGCTTTGTTGCCTAAATACTGACCACGGCATCTGCAGCAGGTGAGTTCTTTGAAGCTAATCTTAGTCTGAGTTGAAACGACCATGAAAAGTGCACTTAATGAAAGTGTTTGCACTATTGCTTGCCCGCCCCCACCTCCACACACTAGTGATTGTTTGATTGGAGGCCAGATTAAAAAAAAAAGTAAAAAGAAAAATCTGGGAAATAGTCTTTGGCACTGAAACTTGCATGGCTCAGTCTTTTTCTCAGCCATAGTCAGGGCTGGCCTTACAATGATTCCATTTTGCAATGCAAAGAGAAATGTGCCCCTTGTTTGTTGCAGTTGTTATGTGCTGTCATGTCATATCTGACTTACAGCAAGCCTCCAAAGTGATCTCCAAAACATCCTCTCATTTACAAGATCTGTTTAGGTCTGGCAAATACAAGACAATTGCTTCCTCTACTGAGTCAATCTGTCTATAGTTGGTCTTATTTTCCTGCTGTCTTCAGCTTTTGCCAGCATTATTGTCTTTGCCAGCAACTCTTATTTTCTCATGACATGTGCAACCTACAAAAGCCTGAGTTCAGTCATTTTCCTCACTAGGAGGAATTCAGGACTGATATGCTGTAGCACTAATTAATTTCTCCTCCATGTGATCTACAGTTACTCTAAAGCTCTCCAAAATCCCCTTTATTTCAGATTAATCTCTTTTTTTTCCCTACCAACTTTCTTCACTGTTTAGGAATACTGTAGTATGGATTATTTTGGCACTGATCCCCAGTGAAACTTTCTTACTACTGAAGATCTTTTCCAGTTTTTTCATAGCTTTGAGTCTTGATTCAAGATTGAACCAGTCTAGTAAATCTTTAACAATTTCACTTTCTTCATTGTTAATGCTGAAGTTATGAATTCTTCCACAGTGATCTTTTTTGTTTATATATTAAACTGTAATCCTGCATTTCTTCTCTCACCTTTATGAGTGGTCATTTCAAGTTATTGATAGTGGTAAAATGCCATCTGTGTATCTTAAACTGATGCTTCTTCCATCAAATTGCACTCCTTCATTTTAATCAAATCCAGTTTTCAGTCCAGACTGAATTGATAGCGAGATAAAACACATCCTTGTCTGATGCCTTTGCCTGTGGGAAAACATTTTGCCTCTCAATACTCTGACTAAGCATTGATTTCTTACCCACAGTACAGGTTATGCATCAGGATGATTGAAAGCTATGATATACCAATTCCTTAGAATGATCCATAGTTTTTGTGATCCACACAGTCAAAGATGTTGCTGTTACCTATAAAGCACATATCAATTTTTTCTGAAAGTTTTTGGTATGCTCTAGCAACAAACTTGTATTTGCAATACAGTCTCTAGTGCCTAGGCTTTTTCAGAATCCAGCTTGAACATCCGACATTTTTTTCTCCATATAAAGTAAAAATCTTGTTTGCAAAACTTTTTTTTTCCCAAAATGGCATTGTTCTCAGGTTCCTGGCACACAGAAAACCCCTCACCAGATTAAGTCTGCATCCAAAGGGTGGCTGGGAAAAGCACATACTGAAAACCAAACATGTGTAACAGGTTACAGCTGGAGGAGAAATACCACATTCCCCCAACTTTTACACATGGCTTTTGGTGATACTGTACTATCAAGCCCAGGTAGCTTTTTTGGCCAAGGAGGGGGGGTGCCTTCCCTTCCTATTTCAAAAAGTGTGCTGCTTATATACCGCCCATCTTTTACACATGGCTTTTGGTGATACTATCAAGCACAGGTAGCTTTTTTGGCCAAGGAGGGGGGGGGTGCCTTCCCTTCCTATTTCAGGCTGAATTACTCTTCCTGCTGGTGAGCCGGCTACCTGGGATTTGAACCCCAGGTCGTGAGCACAGTTTTAGCTGCAGTACAGCGGTTTAACCACTGCGCCACGAGGCTCAGGGTGAGTTACTCTTCGTGCTGGGCCAACAAGTTGCCACACCTATCAAGATTTCAAAGGCTTAGCCAGTTACTAATGTTTTCCCATCAGGTCTCCCCTGCCTTTAACAGCTGCACATCTGGAAAAACCTCAGAGAACAAGAGTTTCAGCTGGGGAATGTAATGCTCATCACACTGCTGTTTAAAAGTCCAGGAAATCTGCCAGAAAAAGGAACCAATTTAATTCAAAGGCAGTTCCAGATTTGTTCTGTTGGAACCTTCATTCAGAGGTCACTTTCCTCCCACCTCTTGCCCTGCTCCTCTACTAAGCTGTGAACTCCATGCATCAAAAATAGCAATTTTCCTCTTGTTTTTGTGATCACTGAACATGGTACAAAAGTATTAAGAGCCTTGTTTTGATCTTGCCTGGGGGTTTTGAGTCTCTCAGATCTGGCTTTTGAGTTGACCTTTTGGTATCTAAGCATACAGAATCTACAGCTGAACTGAGTTCAGGGGTTGTTGTTATTTGTGGGTAAACTAATCACAGAATCTGGTCTAGAGCTCTTCCCAGCAATAAGAGCTGCTGCAGAAAACCGATGAAAGAAGAAACCAAGGAAAAAAAAATACTGAGTCCTCCCAGGTAGCTTAATGCAAAGAAGTCCCTCTTTTCCGCTATGAGCAAAAGTCTACGGGAAAAAACACAAAGGGCAGAAACAGAACTCAAGGCCTCTGGGACTTCCTTCTCAGGCCCAATGACAGCAATGTTAAACCTCACTTTTTCTGGAAGAGTTGCTTTCTTCTCCTGTACAGCAACAAGAGTAAGAGATTTCCTAGTGCTATCAACAAGGGTGAGATCAATTTTTGCACACCTTGTACAAGCATGCAAGTATACAAGGGCTGCTGCTTGTTTCATGGATTCTTAAGGATTGAAGGTATTGAGCGGGTTCTTCCTGTTGTCTGAGAAAACTGCCTTCTGTACTTGGTGTCTTTGTGTCCTTGTCTTCTCCAGTGGACGTTCTGCTCAGAGACATGTTCCGCTGACCCAAGAGACCTTGGCAGGAGGGGAGGCACTCTTTGTCTCGCTCTTGTTCTGGAGGCCAAGAGCCTCACTGGCCTGAAACTTCCTCTATCGAGGGTCCTGATGTGTTGACACTACCTGAATGGACAAACAATGGATGGAAGTATTCTTTGCATCCATTCCCAATAAGTAAACATTTGTTTCTGTCACAGAAGACTAGCCATACCGGCCGTATCGACCACCTCATAAAACTGAGGTTCTAGTGACATAAATCACAACAGCAAGGGATTCATTTGCCACGGTCTGAAGGTGGGGGAAAGGTGAGGAAAAAACCATCAGCTAAGGCAAGCCTGAAGGAATTGAGCAGGCCAAGTCATTCTGCTTGACAGACAGAGGCTGAAGAGTAAAAAGAAGTTGTGTTGGACCACTATGCAGTTTTCATTGCAAGAAAGCTTTTCAGTATTGTTACATGCCACATTTTTGAGTGTGTGTGTGCCACAAAGTTTATATTACACCTTTAAAAAATTGTTAGACAAAAAAATATTTATATAGCAAGAAAAGTGGCAAGCGACACCAATGGATGTTGCGCTTGAAAGAGTACTAGAGACAACGGAGCAGGAAGGAGACTAAAATCTTGATTCTAGGCCTTCAAAGTTAGCTTTTTGCCTTTGGGAAAAGCAAGGTGTGGAAAAATCGCCTTTCTGGGATTCAGCTAGCCTGCTGTATGTTGGATGAGTTCTTGGCTAATTCTTTGTATTTATCAGAGCATAACTAAAAGGACAACTGTAAGTGGGCAACGGATTTCCCTCCTTATGGTCATCTTTAAACCAGATGTAGACCATACACATTGAAAAGACCTTCAGAGAGAGAATTGTGCTCTAAAGCTCTTCAAACAGAGCACTCTTTTTGTCAAAGAAGGCACATGGCCATGCTTGGAGTGGGGGGTTCGGGATAGGAGAGCTGGTATATTGATGAACTCTCCACAACTGGCATGTGGCCCTTGACATGCCTGCCAGGTGCCCATGTGGCCCTCAAGGCAAAAAATGGTATCTCATTCCTGCTGCAGAGTGATACAAGGACAGCCTGCTAAAAATATGGGAGTGAAATTTCTCATGGGAAAACATTATGAGAATACTTCCTGTTTCCCAGTTATCATGTTTATTACTTCTTGTGTGTATATGTGTTCTCTCTCTCTCTCTCTCTCTCTCTCTTTCTTTCTCTCTCTCTCTCTCTCTCTCTCTCTCTCTCTCTCTCACACACACACACACACACACACACACACACACACACACACACACACACACACACACACACACACACACGGTCAGTCGTTATCACAGGATGCAGCTAATGCTCAAGGCATCTGGATTTCATTATGTAAACAAGACACAGAAGAAAATCAAAATAATAACTATTTTGTAATTCCTTTTCTCATAGAGTACAGAATATGCCACCGTCGCTGCCTATGTGTCTTGTGAATGGAGGTGTCCATTGCTGAATCAACCTAACAGGCAGGGTCTGGAAAAGTTACTCTTTTGGACCACAACGCTGACAGTTCCTACCACCTGGGGATTGTGGGAGTTGTAGTCCCACCTGCAAACCCTTCTGAAGCTCTGCTAACCAGCTACTTGTGCTAACATGCATTCCTGACAGACAGCGCTTTGTAATAAAACATGTGGTCTGATTGTTCCTTTAAATGAAGAGGGCTCTTGTATACATAGGTGCTTTGTGTGGTATCAGCTCTCTTGTGTTTGGGAAATAATAAAGCCTGAACCTCTAATTCAGCAAAGTTAATATGATTGGATTTATGTAGCTTTAGTGGCATTGATTTTGACATGTACTTAATTCCATTTGCCAGCATCTGAAGTGGCTTGTGGATCTGGCTGTCAGTCCAACATCTTTGCTTCTTCTGTATTGTTTATCCCTGTGCTGCCTTTTGTCCTTCAGACATCCTCTGTTAGAAGCAAACGATGGGTGCAGCATAGGAGGAGACTATATACGGCAGTACGAAGTTTGATGGGAGCCATACTGATTTGCAAGGTCCGGCAGGTTTAACTGTCCTAAGGAAAGGGATGCAATGGATTGAGAAAGTAGACACTTTGCACTTTGGGAGGTCTTAGTTTCAGTCTCTGGCATCCATAGTGACCAGATGCAATGTATCCCATCCCCCTCCCTCATGGTGAGGAATGGGCTGAGAAAGGCTTCAGCTTGAAACATGGCCAGGCATTTGCTTGTGTGACCAAGGGCAGTGCTAGACAAGGAGTCCCTGGTATGTATGTATGTATGTATGTATGTATGTATGTATGTATGGATGGATGGATGGATGGATGGATGGATGGATGGATGGATGGATGGATGGATGGATGGATGGATGGATGGATGGATGGATGGATGGATTTGATTTGATTTGATTTGATTTGATTTGTACCCTGCCCATCTGGTCTATTAGGCGGCTGGTAGTCCTCCTGTTGCAATTCAGTCTGTCCCAAGGTCCCTCATGATGCCCGTTGTAACAAAAACAGTGGAAATGGGCCCAGATTTCACTTGAATTACTGTCGTGCATGGTAATCGAGGCTTCCTTTCGAAATCATCATGGGTGCAAAATGCTGGAGCCAGAGCCAGCCAGACATTCTTTGTTACAACAGCTTTACTTTCCGTCCATCTGCTCTGAGACACGATTCCAAATGGGTTCCAAAGCCCCACATGGCTTGAGTCCAGGCTGTCTGATGGCCTGTATCACCCCCTAATAAACCTGCCTGCCCTTAAGACCTTCAGAAGAGTCCTTCCTTTCCACACCATCAGTGGCCACTTCTAGATAGCAGAACTGCTTTCCCACAGAGGCTAGGCTGGTCCACCCTTACTTTCCTTCTGCAGGCAGGCAAAGACATCTATGTATCAGTGGGCCTTTAGCCACAGATGGGCTAAGGTGGAAGATCCTTTGAATGGCGGATACCCTTCTTCTAGTTGTTCTTACAAAATATTTTTTTGAAAATGCATTAATTTAGTGTTCTTTTTTATGTGATAATTTACTTAATAAGGTGTTACTCCTGGAATTTATTGTGTTATTTTAGCTGCACCTTTTTTTAAAAAAAAATTATGTTGTAAGCTACTTTGGATTCTGCAATGGATAGGGTGGGACAGAGAATATTATCAGACATGAATGAGTGCACACATAGTTACATAATACAGAGTAAGTGCCAACAATGTACAAAGTTGTCTTTATGGCACTTATTAGGAGACTGCCATTTTCTAATAGAATGGAGCTTTCTTCTTAGATATGATGTACAGTAGGACCCCCGTACGCACAGAACCAGTATTTGCTGATTCATTTAACCATAGTCTGAAAATACTAAAAAAAATTAAAAGAAAAATCCTAGAAATATATATTTCTAAAGTTAGCAGAACTAGCCACTAGCAGGTGCCAGAGACCATACTAATGTGCACTGTTTACTGTACTATAATCTCAGTTTTTCAGCCTGGCAGGGAACTTGGAACCAAACCCACATGGATACAGGGGTCCTGCTGTACAGGGGAAGCCTCGTTTTGTCCCATGCAGGAATGAACAATAACATGAATAACTACTACAACCTGTGCAGCTAGATGGATCCTTGCTGTTTGGCGTTTAACTACACTTTTGGATACAGAACAAGTATGTTACAATCTTGTGTCTATGTTTAAACCTAACAATTTTAAAGAATCAGTTTTAAAAAACTGATTTTTAAGAACCATAACCCTCCAATTTTAGTTTACTGTAATCTAGTATTATACAAATGGGTGTGGTGGCGCTGCAGGTTAAACCGCAGAATCCTCTGTGCTGCAAGGTCGGAAGACCAGCAGTCGTAAGATTGAATCCACGTGACGGAGTGAGCTCCCGTCGCTTGTCCCAGCTCCTGCCAACCAAGCAGTTTGAAAGCATGTAAAAATGCGAGTAGATAAATAGGTACCACTTCAGTGGGAAGGGAATGGCATTCTGTGTCTAGTCATGCTGGCCACGTGACCACGGAAACTGTCTTCGGACAAAACGCTGGCTCTACGGCTTGGAAACGGGAATGAGCACCGCCCCCTAGAGTCGGACACGACTGAAGTAAATGTCAAGGGGAACCTTTACCTTTATCTTAGTATTATACAATAAGACAGATTAACACATGCTGGTTTGTTTCAGGGTGTACGCTCAACAAGAAACTGAAATGTACCATTTTTCCTGATGTGTCTATTTAGCTGCACATAGCTTAGAAGTTTGATCTGGACCAGCAAACTGGACTGGTACTGAGTTCAATTCACACCTCCTTGAGGTCAATATAGATCTTCCATTAAAGATTCATGGTTCCGGACTGAACTGCTTCCTAAGGCATCTATCATGGCTCTGATGAACCGTCTTTACCTCAAAATGCTTGTTTCCTTTCACCTTCTAATGAGAATACCAAACGTCTCCTTTTGATAGCAACCAAACCCCATTCATTACATAAAACAGCAGCTGTCAAGTAGGTGGTGGAAGAGCTGTTCAAACTCTGAAGCAAACAGGACATTCTCACTAATATTTTTGTTTCTTCTTATGTACATTTGATGGTGGCATGAAAACTACCCTTAATGACTTGTGTGGAGCAGTTCTTAAATGTATTATTATTTTTTTCTCTTTGAGAATTTTTCTATTTACTATCTGGAGAGAAAAAAAAACACCATTGCTTATGCAGTTAAGCAAGCTGAGTTTATTCCAACCACCTCCCTCCATTGTTTGTTTTCCTTCCAGCATTCCCTTAATATTTGAAGTAAGTGGTCTCTTTAATATCAGCTGTGAAAGTCATAAAAGCAAAGGAGGAGGAGGGGGGAGAGGGAAAATAACATTTAAAAAAAGAAAAGGAGCATTGCTTTGTAAGACAGTTTCCTGCTAACACCCCCATCAGCATGAAGATTTACTAGAAGGCATCTTTCTTATCAGCACCACGGCCAATAGTCTGTCTCAATAATTTGGAAAAAGGTAACGTGGAGAATAGCTGCCCATTGGTGCATTTCCTTGAGAGTAGACAATGTTACCATTTTATGGCATCAAATCAAATTCACACAAAATATCTGAAAAAGATCAGAAAAGCAAGCGTATGCTAGACCAGGAGCCCTCCATTTGTTGTTCATACTGCAGAAATCTGCCCATACATCGTTGGGAAATGTATCATAGATAGGATGTTCTGGTTTTGTCTTCTGAAGGCAGAATCAAGGCCTGTCAATCCAGAAGTCACTGACAGATGCAAAACATATATTGGCCATGGGGAGTGTTTTTAGAGAAGAGAAGGAGCCATATCCAGGAAACTGTAAATAAATAAACAAAAAAAATCACATGAACCAATTAAGTGAATACTCTGTAGGAGGACCAGCCTGATCGTTAGGCAGACTAAGACAATCGACTTAAAGTGCAGGAATCCACTACATCAACATTTCATGTTTCTGTTGCCAGTAAGCTTTTTTAGATTTTTGTTTGTTTGTTAATGAAATAGCTGTAGACCCTCTCTGAAGAAGACTGCAGAATCCTGCAACACCAAACTGTGTTGGACTGTTTTTTAAAAAATTCCACTTCCTGGCCTCCTGACATGTGTCTCTTCCATGCAACGGGACACAGCATTGATACCCCAGCAGACTCGGCTGCCCCATTAGGCTTCTAGGAGGATAAGCCCCACAGAGTTCTTCGAGAAAACAGGGCAGCCGTGTCTCTGCTCACCTCTCTCCAAAACTGCGGGTCTGATTCTCTGCTTTACACAGGGACCTGTCTTGGACCCTCCCTTTTTCTGGTGGAGGGACGAATGATGAGTCATCTCCAGTCTACAACAACTCCTCCACATCAATTATGCCATCTCAGCTCGTGTTGAAACATTCCACCTGAACATGGCTGGCTCATCAACCCTTCGTCAGATCTTAAAAGACACTGCCTCAGGAGAGCCATCCACCCTCAAAGTTGTCCCCACCCCTCCAAGAGCCTGAAGAGTCATGAATCATGGCACGCAGAGTAGATGATGCTGGTCCTCTTCACCAACCTTACTGTCCTCAACCTATTTAGATTGGTTATTGTTGGGCAGTTTAATTTGGTTTGATGGTTTCTTTATTTGTCTTTGATTAAATCTCCATTTAATTTGAGAGGTTTCATGTTGTTATTGCACACTGCTTCAGATGCTTGCTGAGAAGGTTGAGCGTAAATGTTCCGGTTTTTTATTGCATTCTCTGCTAAAATGCATAGGCTTATCACATTCCCTAACAAATTATGTACTTATACACTTAAGGTCTCCTCCTCCTCCTCCTTCTCCTTCTTCTTCATAAAGATATGCACAAATAGTCAGCAGCCAGAGTTCTTTGACTAATTTACATTTTGTAGGACAACTGTGCAATAAAAATGGTGATAAATTGCCACGTGGTTTTGGTCTCTGGCTGCAGAGCCAGAGGTTGGGAGTTCAATTCCCCCACTGGGCCTTCTGAGAAGCAGAGCCAGCCTGTGTGGCCTTGGGCAAGCTGCACTGTCCCAGTCCCAAGATGCCCCCAAAGGAAGGGAATGAGAAACTACTTCTGATTATTCTCTACCTGGGAGACTCTCATAGGGTCACCATAAGTCAGAATTGACTTGACATAATGATACATGATGATGATGATGATGATGATGATGATGAAGAAGAAGAAGAAGAAGAAGAAGAAGAAGAAGAAGAAGAAGAAGAAGAAGAAGAAGAAGAATGTTTAAAAAAGGAATACTGGTGCACTTCATTAATGAGCATCCGTTTTTTCCTCCAAGACTTACATTATTTCCGT